TAAGTTTTTTATTTGTTTCATTTAAATATTTTATTTTTTAAATTCATATAAGAAAATATAGTTTACGTAGTTAATTTTGAAGGTTAGAAGGTAAAAGAGTTAATGTATTTCATCTTTTTAAAATAGTAAAAATATTTTTTTAATAGATTTTATATTTACTTCATTTAAACTCCAAGATCTTTGTTCCATAAGTTTATAAACTGCATGTTTCACACCAGTAATACTATCTTAATGACATTAAACTTTACAACTATTAGAAGACACTAGATTTCTTAGATTGAAACGCATTGTAATTCTTACCACTTCATTTTTGTGTAATAATTGAAGGTACCATATAAAATAAGGTCAAATGTAATCAATCTAAATGGAAAACATTGAATGGATTTTAGAACGTGCTTCATGAAGTCTTGCTTAAACCTACATATTATCTATCAGAAATGTGCATTTAATGATATAATTTATACACTAACATGACTATCCAAGATATATATCCTTGAGAACTATTATTTTATTTATTATTACTGAGAGGAAATTACAGAAAAGGCAGAAGTAGGAAAATAGAATTTTTCTTGAGTTTATTCAAATTTAGGGAGAAGGATGTGGCCTGTCAATGGGCTGATCATATCAAGCCCAATAGCAGGCCCATCACTGGTGGGTTAAGGGAGATGAGAGAGAGTGAAGGGCGCAAACCTTGTGAGAGGTAAGGCATGGAAGGGGACAACAACGACTATGGTAGCGACAGCAGGCTTCCCCCTTGGTGACAAGTGGAGGTGAGTACGGTGGCAATGGTGGCAATACAATGACATCACGGTGACGATGGCAACAATGACCTCTCCTCTTAACAAGTGGAGGTGGGCACAGCTACGACAGTGGCTGCTATGATGGATGGAGCGCATTCCCAATGGGCTGAGTGTGGTAGTGGCTTGAACCTTCCCTTCCAATGGTAAGGCCCTCCTTTCGAGTGACAGATAGGGTTGAGGGAGTAGAGGAGCAGAGGGACGCATAACTAAACGTATTTAGTCTCATTTGTGTTTCAATTTCATTGTTTTCACAGGTCCAGTCATATGGTCTGACTGCCGACTCATTGATCTACCTTTTGTAGTTAGTTCTAAGTGTGAGGTTGATTTCAACTACTTCATTTTTGTCATTAGGCGATAGACAGGAACCATTGTGTGTTCGGTTGTATTTGAATTCTTTAATTATTACAGATGTGATGGCTATGATTTTTTTATCCCAACTCTGAATATTATTTTTTTCGTAAATATTGTCTATTCTCTCTTTTCCTCTTCTTTCCCCCTTTGATAAGCATTTCATTGCCGCTATCATTCCATGTGTGGAGCCATGACAGCAGCTGCTGACGAGAAGAGAAAACAAATCCTCTGTACCTTCTCTTATTCTCGTTTATTTTATAAGTATTTAAGCATGTGATTTGATACTAAAATTGAGTCATCCCTGAGGATTGAACCAAACCACTAGAAGTTTGAAGATGATTTATATTGTCTGAGTGTATATACATTTAAATTTGACGTTTTTAATTCAATGACTATAATTTAATGTCACAATAGAATAATTACTTGAAGATGTGTCTTAATATGGTAAACTTATTGGTCATTTTTCATATTTGACACTTTCACATCTTGATATCACCTTTGTAATAGACAAATTAAGTCAATTTATGGCTCAACCGTTTTTCTTCACTTACATTCAATACATCATCTCTTTCTTTATTTCAAAGCCACACTTGGTCAAGGACTATGATTTTCTAGATCATCTTATTTAGAACTTTGGTGATGGGGATCAGGGCTGCCACGACATCAGTGCAAGCCACAGCAGAGGATGCCACGTCATTGTCGAATGTCATCATCAGATGACACGTCATCCCTACGGCTGATGTGTCGTCCCCCATCAACGACGCGTCGTTTGGTGACTCGACGCCTCCTTTTATTACCTATAAATATCCCTGTAATGACGATTGAAAAGAAGGAGAAAGAAGAAAGAGTTTATTTGGTTAAGATTAATTAGGTTCACCCTGTCTTGGGCTTGGTCGCGAGGACCACCGTCGCCCCCAGGCAAGGAGTTAGTCGTGGGGACCCCGTCGCCCCGGTAGAGTTGGCCATGAGGACCTCGCGCTCCCGGTCGGAGCTTGCGGCCCGACGCGCCTCCGTCGCATGTCCTCCGGGTGCCGTTGCCCTTCTCGTCTCCTCCGCTTCACCCCCATGAGCCACCACGTACCTCGGCGCCGCGTGACGCCAGTCACCAGACGGCGCCAGCTGCGCCGTCGCCGCATCTTCCCAGTCGTCGTCCACCACCACCATCCTTGCGGACCCCCTCCGGCTGTTCCGCTGCCGCCGCCGCCACCACCACCTTCTCTCTCCGCCCACACAAACGGTTGGGGTTGCCCCCCTTGCCTTCCACCAGTTAAGGTTAAAAGGCAACCGGCTCGCGACACTGCGAACCGGCCTGAACCAGACCAGCTCAGCCTGACCCAACCGCCCCACTGCCTGGTCTGAGCCCAACCGGCTTGACCATCTGGCCCGAGCCTAACTGCGTCCCCGTCCGAACAATCTTAGGGCCTTGGTTCAAACCAGCTCCTCCCGTTGGTCAGGTTTCTGCGGGATCTCCTGGTCCGCGCTAGCCGCCACAGGTTCAAACCAGTCCAGGTGATCAGCCCGTCAGCGTTGTAAACAGTCAGTAGTCAACCGTCAACTATCAACAGTCAACTATTACACCAAGTCAAGTACCATGCATTGGCATCTCTAACTGCTAAGATTATTTGGATACCTCTTCTTGTCCTTTTATTATGTGACCATTATGTTGCTATTCATATTACATCAATCTCACATTTATCAACATACAAAGTATATTGAGATTGATTGTCACTTCATACATACAAAGTTTGTCAATGGTGTCACCAAGATACACTTTTAATAAAGCTTTTTATTCTTCTCATTTATCCTTTCTATAGTCCAAGATGGTTGTTAAAAACATTTACAGCTCTTCTTGGCATGACGCGGGGGGGGAAGGGGGGGCGGTCTCCACATTTATCAGCACCTATATTAAATACTGTCTCTCTGAAATGAATTGGGGTTTCTTTTTGTTCTCCCTTGCTGTTTCTCCCTCCACATGCAGCTTCGTCATACCTAGTGCGGGTTCAAGCCCTACCAATGAATTACTTCACATAATACCAACAGTATGATATTCAGAAATCTAAATCGATTGAATAACTCATTCCAAATAGGAATATTCATATAAATTATTCAGCGGGAAATACTGATTAAACTAGGAAGCAGGCTGGTGCTGGAAGCACATCTGCTTTGATGATATCCATAGGACAGATTTCGTTTCCCAATGCACAGGTTAAGTGTGCCGTGCGTTCGTGAGCAATGGACTTGAGAACTAGAACTTTTATTCCGTTCTGCAACTGGAGAAAAATGTCTTCGAAATCCAGAAAGAACACAGGCCCAATGCCCGACGCCGAGGTGTACGCGCACAAAGGCATAGCCGCACACACAACACAGGCGACGACGGACGTGCTCATCATGTATGAACGCCCGAAGCCGTGGAAGATGGCCACCAACATGGCCTATAAATTCCCAGAAGAGGGGGAAATACTGCGGCCCAAAAGAAAATATTGAACAAAGATAACATCTCTGACATATGCATCTGTGCTTTCCCCCTAGTAATTGGAACGAATATTTATGTAGTTTAATCAAATTGGAACAATTTTTGCAAGAAACATCATTTCTCCTTCAGATCGTAAAACTAGTCACATGCAGAACGTCTAGAGGATACTGATTCTCTTTCAAGTCGCGAGAAAGGAATTCCAAAGTTTAAATAATTGTCTAGGTAAGAAAATACAAGTAATCAAGAATGTGCGTGACGGTTTACCCATTCATTCCAAGGGCGTGATGAATTCTTCTGATCCACATCCACCATCAAAGTTGAAGGATCTTTATGTGCCTGGACTCTTTTTAGGATCTTGAAGAGCAGTTATTTTGTTTAAGGGGAATATGCAAGTATTAAGAACATATATTACCGGGCCTCCTAAAAGATGGATAGCCCACATTGGATCTACTTCCCCTAAAAGTTTCTTAAGCATGTGGTGTAACCTTTGACATGGATTACGTCTACATCCCAAGAGTTTTCTCCTTCTGGTACCCGTTTGTCGATAAATGCAAAAGAGCGTCATGTCAAAGTCTGTCAAATCGTTTCAGTCTTGATCCGCATTCCTAGTTCTTAATTCAGCGTGGAAAGGTGAGTCACCTTAGATTGTCTCCAGTAGGAGGCGATTAACTTCTCTATAATGCATAAAACTAGTTATATTTTGCAGTCATCCGTTTGCTATTAGAGATTAATGTGATCACGATTAAGACTGCGCAGGGTAAAAATGGAAGCTGATAGTTGACGATATGGATTTGATCTAGTTGCTGATTACGATCTAACAAAGAAATTTGGTGCCGTTTCGGCTCAGGCAATATTACATTGATGACAAGAACGTCTGCGAAAGTAATAAATACGTGCCGTGCAAAAGCAAGACATTACAAAAAAGATCGGCGTGAAAAGTTGACGGAAAGAGAGAGGGAGCGGCCGGAAAGGATAGTGGTCGTCAAGCTATCATCTCGCTCTCATTAATGCTTTGGCAGGTGGCAACACGTGCATTAATGACAAAATAATCAATACATAGAGGCATTTTCTAAAGAAACTTATCGAAACCACATGTATCACGTTGACTGTCTGAGAGTATGCAAATACATTTTTAGCCGTTAAATCCTGTGTAAAGCCCTCTTAACACGTTTCTTTGCTATTAACTCAGTTTATTAAAACTTTCGACACCGCATCTTAGACAATCTCGTCATTTTCAATAATAATCTTCTCCTTATTGATATCACATCGATCTAGGGTTTGTGCATTAGTTCGCATACTACCGTCCACGTTATCTTCGTCGGGATAGGCTCCTATTTATTTGAACCATGTGATTTATCTCCTCCAGTCCTGAAATCATGGAGGTTCCCTTCTCAGACACTCTGCGATCACAACCAAGATGGGTTCTCCTTCTATTATCACTCGGCCTCTTCCAAGTCTCGAGGCTTTCTCTGTCCTTCCTCCGATGGATCTACACCTTCTTCCTCCGACCACCAAAACACCTTCTCGACTACGGCCAGTGGGCGATTATCACGGGGCCAACAGACGGCATCGGAAAGGCCATGGCCTTTGAGCTCGCCAGGCAAGGCCTGAGTCTAATCCTCGTCGGTCGGAACCCCGATAAGCTGAAGTCGGTGTCCGCGGCAATTCAGGCCGAGCTCCGGAACGTCGAGGTCGTGACCGTCGTGTTTGACCTCGCCGGTGACATCCCCAACGGCGTCCGGCGGCTAAAGATGGCCATCGAGAACCTCGACGTCGGGGTGCTCGTTAATAACGCTGGTGTGTGTTATGATGCTCCCAAGTACCTGCATGAGCTCGAGGAGAAGATGTACACCGATTTAGTTAAAGTTAACATGGAGTCGTTGACGGAGATTACCAGGGCGGTGCTGCCGCAGATGGTGAGGAAGAAGAAGGGCGCCATCGCCAACCTCGGCTCCGGGTCTGTAGTGATCCTTCCATCTTACCCGATGTTCGCTGTATATACTGCAACCAAAGGGTAGGCCAAATTCATTCTCCAAGGTCGTCATTATCTTTAGCATCTTCCACCTCTTGCCTTTCGCTTCAATTTTCATTTCATACTGTAGTTTCCTTTACGCTTTTTATGTCTGCTTCCTCTTACATTTCCCCTTGCAGTTCTTCCCCCTTGTTTTTATACATATTTAGACATCTTACTTCCGTGTCTATTCATGATCTTATTCTGTGTTTACCCTAAGCAAATTTGCGTCCTTTCTTCCAAATTATCGGCAACAGATTTCATATTTTGTTCAAAAACTGAGTAACATATTTGACGGAGCAAGGCTCGAAGTTTATTCATTAATATCGTACTATGTCTTTTCTAATTCATATACTGATTCTATCTAATTTTGTATCAGTTACGTCGATGCTTTATCTAGAAGTTTGCACCATGAATACAAGAGCACTGGAATTGACATCCATTGCCAGGTAATAGCTCGTATTCCGTAACTTTGTCCGTCTGTGTCTGTCTTGCTCGTAAACTAATATCTTTTCCGAACATTGATTAGATCTATTTGTCTGAACTAGGTTTGATAGGAATGTCTTAGTATGTTTATTAGTACATTGCCATACACTAAGAAACAAAATAGGCGTTACTTTGAACATATTATAAAATTTTCTATCCAAATAGCTAAATATATAGCTTTCGTAAAATCTATCTAATCCTTTTTCTAACATATGATGGATGCACTAAGACTAGATGATCATTTTGGTACTGTTACTTGGTTTCCACTTGATAACTATTGGTCAATGTTTAGACTCCAGCTTTTGCAGTAACGAAAATGGTGCCAGACAAGAGGCATTCGTTTTTCAACTCGACACCCGAGGAGTATGCTCCTCCGGCCGTACGTGCCGTCGGCTATGGGACCTCGATCCTCCCTTACTGGAGACACTCTATGTTAAACTATCTTGCGAAACAGGCACCGGAGCGTATCCTAAACGAATGGTTTTTACGCAATGCACTGAATCAAAGGGAAAAAGTTCATTAACGTGAGATAAGCAGTTCATTACTCACTCTGCTTCAAAGCAGGTTTGTCAGATGGTTCACTTTGTACTTTTGCGGAAAATTATGGGCTTGGTCCTTGGTCTCGTTCCAAGTTGCTTCAATGGGCTCATAAATGGTATTCCAAGTTGCATCAAATGCCGTGCAATGGATGTCTGAGCGATAAGTCGTGGCCAACGTCTGCGGCCACGGCTCGGAATCATGGCGGACGGGGTAGTCGTTAGGGAAGGGGACGAGAAGAAACTAATGTAGTCGGTGAAAGAGGGCCAGCTTGCTCTGGTACCTGTCACATCGGTTCCAGAGATAAACTCGGACGGCAGTAGGACCGAGATCAGAACTTCCTGGCTGAACCTGTTAAGAGCAGAAATTATAACGTTCCGAGTCTACTTCTGTTCGACATATTGGTGCCCACCGCCTCAGCTGATTGAACCTTCTACCGCCTGAATTGTTTTTATTTTAACTTAAAACATCTTCCACGTAATCATCACGTGGTTTTAATCGGACAGTTTGATTAATCATCATTCATCTGTCCGCATGAGCGCGTGTTTAAATTACTAAATGACGTTGATTTACTACCGTTCTCTCTTCTCCTCTGACATTCGCTCCTTATCATCCCTCTGGTCTGAAATTCGGTCAGCGTGCTGTCCTAATAATCTCCTGCAACCCACCGACGCTGTGTAAAGGCTGGTCACGAATGAAAAAGAAATCAGTATATGCCCCGTCCCCTTTTTCCCTCAGCCAGCTCTCTATCATCTCTTTCCTATTTGGCAAAGAAGGGATATAAGCCCATCAGCCCTTTCTTAATCAGCTAGCTATTTTTCCATTGACACATTCTTCTAGCGCTGGATTAAAGGAAGATGGAGCCAATTATACCTAAAAGGGGAATGCATGGGTAATATCGTCGTTACGTAATAGTTAAACGTGAACATCGTCTAGGTGCAAAGACTAAATCATTTAAAGCACAGTTTTTTTGTGACCTAGAAGTTCAACTAAAAAAAATGCTTGTCAATAATAAATTACAATTTTTGGGCAGCTAAATCAGACTACTCTTTTTGCTGTATTGAGCTTGAGGATGGATGAATAAAGGGAGTTAATTATTTCTTCTTATCGTAAAAGAAAGAGAAAATAAAGCCTGTATGAATAGACGAAAAAACTCGATTTGTCCATGCTAGAGTTGAATTTCGTTGAGTCCCTCATCTTTATCTGTGGAAATTGACGGGGAGAGAGAGAGAGAGAGTAGGCGACGACACAAAGGACGGCCATTATTTCGAATGCGAATGCAATTTGTACACGCAATCGTTGATGTGGCTGTTAATAATGCAAATAGTCAAAGAAACGGGAATATAATGGGAGAGGAAGACAGTAGCGACAATGACCGAGGGAGGAGCTTATCTTGGGCGGACGATCAATGGAATTTCTTAGAACTAATAATGCTGATGAGGGAAAGAAAACGAGGAGACGGATAAAGGAGAAAAAAATCGAGGATTGATCGTGAGAGGAACATATGTTTTTCATACGGTTCATTATCAACCGATAAATTAAAAGACGAGACGAAGAAACGCAAAGAAATAGAGATGCGGAGATACCTTCGCTTCTCATTGCGTCTTGTTCCTCACATTTTATTCTATGAGTTGACTTAGATCATTTTCTTCTCTTCTCTTCTATTTCTTTCGTTATTAAGATGGAGATCCATGTTATAGACTTTCCCAACAACCAAAGAACAGAATCCATTGCGCTGTATGATTTTCCGAGTCCTGAGACTAGCAATCTACTGCACTGCTATGAAAATTGACGTCCAAATAACAAGCTAGTACATTCAACAAGTCACAAAGATCTTGTTTGACACGGATCATTTTGAGTGCAGGAATCTACTGGGAAAGACTTAGAGCTGGCTCATACATCTGTCCTAACATTTCTGAGTACTGCTCTATGGTGTGTAGCTTACTCAACTGATGAAATTGTCTTTTCTTGAAATCTCGGTATTTGGCATCCCATGCACGGATGAAATGCCTTCATGGAAGACCATCGATTCCTAGTCAACATGAATTAATAGGACATCAGATCTATTGAAAAATTACTTTAATCTGGGATATCGAGTCTTCTCCCTCTCTTTTACAACCACCGCTTAGAGGAGGTCCTGTAGTCCAAAAGATGCAGAGTCCTCCCCATCTCATCCAAATATCATCATTACACGCTCTTCGCCTAAGGAAGAAGTCCTCTAGTTAAATAAATGGACGACTATTTATTTACACCCTGATATATATAATTAAAGCGCTTCTTCTGCGATCGGTGTGGCTCATTAATGTTCGAAGTACCACTCTCCCTCAGGACATGGGTCAATTGAAAGGACCTCTATCTGCCAATTAATTCGATATTCATTGCTTCTAAGATCAAACCCTCTCAGAATGTAAGGTTACCATCCTTAGGATCGGCTCCACACTAGAATCCAGGTTCAGTTTGTACCTCCCCAGTGGAGAAATCACGGAGTTTTCCATCTTAGAGACTTTACGAAATCAACCTACACGGGTGCAGCCGCTGCTATCACTCGGCCTCGCACAGGTCACAAGGGTTACTTTCTCCTTCCAGAGATGTATCCACATCTTCTTCCTTCGACAACCAAAGAACCTAATGGACTACAGCCAAGGGCGATAGTGACTAGGCCGACAAACGGCATTGGAAAGGCCATGGCGTTCGAGCTGGCCAGACGAGGTCTTAATCTGATCCTCGTTGGTCGGAATGCCGATAAGTTGAAGCAGGTTACAGGAGCACTTAGGGAGGAAGTGTCAACTATTGAGCTGGTATCCAACGTCTTCGACCTCTCAAACGATATCCCAGACGGGATTTGGCGACTAAAACAGGCCACCGAGGTTCTCGTTGTGGAAATTCTGGTGTATTACACAGCTGTGGCGTACAGCTCAGGCCATCGAGTTTCTCGACGTGGGAATTCTGGTGGACGACGAGATGTATACGGAGCTGGTGAAGGTCGACATGGAGGCGATAACGGATATCACAAGAGTCCTGCTCCCGGCGATGCTGAAGAAAAAATGAAGGCAGCCATCGTAAACGTCGGTCCTGGGAAGTCGGTGATGAATCCGTCCTACGCAATATGTACTGTTTATCCCCGTACCAAAGGGTGTGATCATGTTCCTCTATTCTTTCTTTACCGTTCCACTGCTACAAGAAATTCGAATCTTGCCCTTCTTCCCAAATTTACTACCTAAATTTTAACTTTTCAATTTCAAAACGTACGATACAAGTAATGTTTATACGGTTTTGGGACGAGGGTTCTCCCGTACTGGGAACACTCCATACAGCGCTATTTCTCTAAAGTAGCCCCCAGAGAGCATCCTTAATGGATGATTATACGTTCTGCCATGTGACGCCTAATGTCGTTATGTTTCCATAGTAATACCTTTAATTTTCACCTTGAATTTTCGTCTAAATGTGGTTATGTTTCTGCAGTAAACGTTCTGCCCATGTGACGCTTAATGCTGTACTTCGCTGTCTACAAATTCGGGTTCAATTTGCCAATGATTTCACTGTTATTGTTATGTGACGCTTAATGCATGGGCAAATTAATGATACAAATTGACGCAAGGCAGGAGCAGGCCAGCCTACTTTGAATTGGGTTGACATAAATTCACACAATAGTCACTGCCAGGGGAAAGGGGGGGCTCGCGGAAGAAAAAAAGTAGATGGAATCCGTAAAAATGGATGATCGTAGTAGACTTGGTCCGTATGATAGGCAATTCTTGCAATTTATATTTGATTGATCGACCATGCTAATACTTTCTATCTAGGGTAACTAGCATCTATGCAACTCAAAATCTAACATCATAAATCATGTAGTGGATGCTGTTGGAGTCAATTCATCGTTGACGCCATCGCAGAGAGGTTGATCTCAACCTTCGAGGACTTACCTCTGCGATAGGGTGTGCATGTGGGTTGACAATTACGACATCGTCGCAAAAACAGCACTGATCGGCAAGTACAGTTGACTTGTTGTTGCGGAGCTGGAGTATATCTCTCAGACACATAAACAAAGGTCTCATTACATCTAATAAGCTTTTCCGCGTTCTTAATTTATCCCATACATCTTTAATCAGAGTTTTACTTGGCATATGTTTACTTCTATCATACCCATGACTATTATTTTATATGACGAGTTGTATAGACTTAAAGACGTATAACATAAATAGCTACTCTAAAATTTTAAAGTGGGCTTTAGAAATCCCAACTTTTACAGGATTATTATTTAGTGACAAATGAAACAGGGGGCACCCATTAAGACCGGCATATTTATCCTTCGCGCCGCCCGCCAAGCCGTTTGGCTGTTTGGAGCCGTGTTCTCTACGGAGCGTAGAAACATTGGCCTTACAGCATATTGATTGATTGAAGATTGATACATGTGAGGGATTAGTCACCTACTCTTCCTACCGCTGAATATCAAAGGAGATTGGCGGTCGGGGAGAATCATGAATTTTCGTCTATTGGGAAGAAAACTTGTCACCTTCACTTAAAGATCTCGACGGTCTAAAGTAAGATCGAGAGTTATGTACATATTTGGAGATGTCACTGAAGAAATTTACATGAGTGGTAAAGCATATACAAATAATGATGCACACTTACTCGGTAAGAGAGAGAAAGAGAGAGAGAGAGAGCGGAGAGTTTGTAAAAGGTTGGCAAATTTCCCTAGAGGGGAATGCCATTTTAAAATTTTGTATACATTTAACGCCCAAAAATTAACAACAACACTGGTTGGTTAATTATTTAAGTTACGTGAACTGATCGTCATAAAGTGATGCGGAGAAAGCAAGGGCGCCCACAATGACAAGAATAGACAGATGAGGATCCATCCATCACAAGTCATATAGCGAATTAATTTGTAGAACTGACACTGAGGATAGTAAACTGACAGGCAGGCAGTGAAAGAGCCAAAGAAAGAAAAAAAAGAAATGTTTCCCAATATGTCCTCGCCAATATAAG